TCCCCTTCTAATAAAACTTCTCACTTGAGCTCTGTCGGCTTGGCGTGTTTGTCCTCTGGCTCTATCACCCTCACCTGCCATGGAATCTGCCATGGTCCCCGACCCAGGGACTACCCTCAAACTTTATGCCAACATAGGGTGGTCACAGCTGCTGTATGCGCATGGTGGCACGGCTATTTTATAACACTCCTCTCCATTCTCCAGTGTTGTTTTTGTTTTTTTAACTCTGCTCTTTGAGGGGCCTGCCACCCAGCTCCCAAATAAATATACAGTCTAATTCTTACTTAGAATGCCCAGCCTTAGCTTGGCTTGTTACTAGCCAACTTTTCTTAACTTTAATTGTCCATCTACCTTTTACCTCTCAGATTTTATCTTTCTTTTCTTCTTATTCTCTGGCTTGTTGTGTAACTGGGTGGCTGGCCCTTGTAGTCCTTCTCCTACTCTTGCTTGTTGATCTTCCAAGATTTCTCCTCCTCTTTATTTCCTCTGCCTGGCAGCCCTGAGTATCCTTTCTCCTGCCTTGCTATTGGCTGGTCAGCTCTTTACTAATAAAGGGCTAAAACACCAATCAGGTGTTTTAGACAGGCTGGTCAGCTCTTTATTAGACCAATCAGGTGTTTTAGACAGGCAGAGTAACATAGCTTCATAGAGTTAAACAAATGCAACATAAAAGAATGCAACACATCCTTGCATCATTAAACAAATATTCCAAAGCATAAACACATGTAACACATCTTAAAATAATATTCTAGGGCTGAAGAGATGGCTCAGAGGTTAAGAGCACCCACTGCTCATCCAGAAGACCCGAGTTCAATTCCCAGCAACCACATGGTGGTTCTCAACCATCTGTAATGACATCTGGTACCCTCTTCCAGTGTGCAGACATACATGTAGACAGAACACTGTATACATAATAAATAAATAAATAAATCTAAGAAAATAGTTGTGGGTTTATTTTGTGTTTTATGGGTATTTTGCCTGCCTGCCTGCCTGCCTGTATGTACCTGTTATTTGTGGATGTCAAATTCCCTGAAGCTGGAGTTACAGATGGTTGTGAGCCACCATGTGGGGCACTGGGATCTGAATCTAGATCCTCCTCAACTCAAGAGGAGTGCTCTTAACCACTGAACTACCTCTCCAGCCCCTGATGTTGAACACTTTAAACAATATTTATTAGCTACAGTATTTTTCTTTGAGAACCATTTAATTCCATTTTCTTGCCATTTTTTTTGAGTTCTTTGTATAGTCCAGGTATTAACCTTCTGTTAGATGTATAACTGCTCATATATAGTTTTTTTTAACTTATTTTTTTCTAGAGACAGAATCTTTCTGCTGCTCATCCTTAAAACTACTTCTCCACTTGATTGACAGTTTCCTTTGCTGTACAGAAGCTGAAGTCCCATCTGTCAGTTGTTGGCCTTATTTCCTGAGCAACAAGGGTCCTACTCAGAAAATCCTTCCACACCCCTGTAACTTGTCACACACACTCTACTTTTTCTTCTTGAAGTTTCAGGTTTATATTGAGACCCTTAGATACATCTGGAGCTGATTTTTGTGTAGAGTGAGAGATAAGAATCTGGTTTTAGTCTTTTTTGTGTGAATATCCAGTTCCTCGGGACAAGTGTTGAAGATGATATCTTTCCTCCAGTGTGTATCATTGGCATCTTCATAAAAAAATCAAATGGCTGTAGTAATGTGGACCTGTTTGTGCAGCTTCTTTCTGCCCCATGATCAGCTTCTCTGCATTTTTGCCAGAACTATGGTAGCTTTGTTCCTATGGCTTGAAGTGCACTTTGAAATCAGGTATGGGGATACCTCCAGCTGTACTCCTTTATCTGGGGTCTTTGTGCTGTTATAGGAACCTTAAGGTCTTTTGTTTTTTTCTATGAGGAACAGCAAAGAGATTTGATTGGGATTCCAGTGAACTACAATCTGCAGAGATAGATAACTTTTGGCAAGGTGGTCTTTTTCACAGTTCAGGGTCTAATCCCTGAGCACAGGTGATGTTTTTTGTCCTGTTGTGTCTTCCTTGATTTCTTTTCTTAGAGATGTAAAGTTTTCATTGTAGAGGTCTTTCAATCCCTTAGTAGACATTCCAGGATATTTTCTTTGAGGCTGTTGTGAATGGAATTGTTTCCTAGAGTCTTTCTCAGTATACTTGCCATCAGTATATCTTATATATTAATTTTATATTATGCCACCTTGCTGAAAGTAGGTTTTTTTTTTTTTTTTTTTTTTTTGGTTTTTTTTTTTTAGTTCTAAGAGATTTTTGGTGACATCTTTAAGTCTCTCTTAATTTTTAGAAATTACTTTTATTTATTTATGTGTATGCTCATTTGCTGTGGACTATGGGATGCTTATGGTTGGATTGTCAACTTTTAGGGGTTGGTTCTCTCCTCCCACTGTATGGGTCCCAGGATTGATCTCAGGTCATGAGGACTGGCTATAGGGGCCTTTGCCCACTGACCCACCAAACTGGCCCTACAGTCTTTTATGGCTAAAATCATACCATGTGCAGCCGGAATACTTTGACTCTTTTCCTATTCATATCCCTTTTCTTTTTCTTATTGGTCTACCCAAGACTTCCAAGAACTACATTAAATAGTAATGGAGAGAATTGTCAGCTTTGTCTTGCTCAAGATTAATAATTTTGCTTCAAGTTTGTCTCCATTTGCAATGATACTGGCCCTGGGCTTGTGCTGAAATATATTCCTTCATTTGGAGATATGGCTCAGCAGTTAAGAATACTGGCTGCTCTTCCAGAGAACCTGGGTTCAATTCCCAGCAACATGGTGGCTCACAACCATCTATAATAGGATATAATGCTGTCTTCTGGCATAAAGTTCAACATGCAGATAGAGCACTCAAATACATAAAATAAATACATAAATAAATCTTAGAGCTGTTTTATTTTATTTTATTTTGTTTTTAAGACAGGGTCTCACTATGCAGCCCTGGATCGCTGGAACTTGCTTTGTAAACTACTAGGATGGCTTCAAACTCATAGCAAGACCCCCTGAGTGCTAGATTAAAAACATGCACTACCATGCCTGGCTCACTCCAGAGCTTTTAAATTAAGAGATATTGTATATTGCTGTGTTAGGTCAGGGTTAAAGCACCAGAGGGAGTTGAGGTGAGGGTTTTGTCTCTGGAGGGAGCTAGTGTTTCAGGTAGGTCCTGGAATGGTGGGGTTCAAATACGGGAAGGAAAGTGGGGTACTCTATTCATAGAGAGAGTGTTTGCTTCTAGTAGGTCCTCAGATGATAGGCAGGATTTCTCTGTGTAGCCCTGGCTGTACTAGAACTCTCTCTGAAGTTCAGGCTAGGCTTGAACTCAAAGATCTTGCCTCTTTCTCCCAGTTGCTTGTAAGGCAAGCCACCATGCCTGGCTTGTTTTGTGTGTGTGTGTGTGTGGGGGGGTGTTTCTCTATGTATCCTATTTTGGCCTTGAACAAACTCACTATGTAACCCAGGCTGACCTCAAATTCTCAGTAATCCTCCATTTCCCAGTCTCCCCACTATTGGTATTACAAGTATATGCCGCTGTGGTCACTGGATATTTTCTGATAATGAGAAGTTAGTAGACATCATATTGATATAGATTAATTCCTATTTTGGTAATTACCCAGATTTAGAAATATTAATAAGCAAGTCTAATCATTCCTACCATTGGCTTGGTGAGTATGAGCAGGGTGAAAAAGAAAGAGCTAATCTTTAAACACTGGCAGAAGTCCTCTCACTAACCCTTCACTTAGCACTTAGCACCTGTGGTGTCTCGGTGAGGAGTCCATCTAAGGATGCCTGTCTTATTTAGAGAATGTTCCTCAGTGGAGTTGTGAGCTTGTGTGGCCCAACTTTGGTGACAGCTTCGATTTGCTACAAGATAGGGGTGGCTGAAAGGAGACCACTGTGAACTCATCAAGTCTGAATTTTATTTCACCCAGGAGCAGAGTGACGAAGGGACATTCTTCCATGTTACATGTATCCCATGCTTCTTCTGGTCCCCTTCCACTGGGGTCGTTGCTGGGGCTATTGTGCCAAGTGTGAAGATTCTGCCTTACTCCCAGGCGCTGACTCCCCTGCCCCCGAGGGTCTGCCCTTGTATTCGCAGGAGTTTAGGAGCCTCTGTAAGTATAGCAAAACTTGGTTAATTTGATGTTCCTGCTCAACATTTGCAAAGTGATGAAGCCAGTTGACAAGGTGAGAATGTTTCCTGATGCCATTGGATTTTATTTTAAAAGATAGACAATATTTGAGAAAAAAGAAACACTTAGAGCTCAAATGCTTACAGTAACTTCAAACAGCAGCAATACATGCATTCACAGACGGGGATAGCTGTTAAAAACCACATCCTAGTTTTAGTTTCTGCCCTTCACTTTATTGCATTTTGTAGATTTTATTTTTTTCTAAATTCAAGGTTTGTGGCAATTCTACAATGAGAGACTCCTTTGATACCATTTATTCAGTGGTGTGGGATCAACTCTTGTCTCTTTCTCATTTGGATAATTTTTGAAAATTAATTATACATACACACATATACATATATATGTATACATACATACATATATATATGTATATATGTGTGTGTGTGTGTGTATACTCTATCTGCATGTACAACTTTATGCCAGAAGAAGACATTGGATCCCATTAGAGATGGTTGTGAGCCACCATGTGGTTGCTGGGATTTGAACTCAGGACCTCTGGAAAGGTAGTCAGTTCTCTTAACCACTAAGCCATCTCTCCAGCCCCAGTTGTTTTGGTTGTTTATGATCAATAATATTAACAAGCTGAATTTTCTCTTTGACAATTTCACATATATGTATCATATATATTCATTTACATATACATACATGTTTATATATGTACACATATATATTCTTTGAAATTTTCATATCTGTGTGTGTGTATATATATATTTCTGTTATTCTTATCCTTCACTCTGTTTTTTTCCTCCCATACTTGTCAGTGCCCCCCTCCTCAGGTCTATTTCTCATGTTCAGGTTGTTTGTTTGTTTGTTTAGTGACCACTAGAGTATCTCAGTGGCCATGGGTATGGAACTGTCCAATGGAGCCTGGTGGACTCACCAGTGGGTACAAAAAGTCATATTTTTGCAGGATATTTGATCTCACTGTGAACCATGAGGTTGCATTATTTACTGGAAAAACCTGTTTCTAGTTGTGGTGTGGCTCAGCCATAGGGCACACCTTTTAATCCAAGATCTTTCTGTTTGAATATTGCAAGCAGGATTAAATAAAATCAATCAAAGGTCAAAAGGTGGAGCAAGCAACTAGTTGACAGGAAGTGAAGATAAGGTTATTTTGAAAAAAATCATAGAAAGTACGAGGGAGTCAGAAGGACAGATAGTTGCAGAAGAAGTAGAGGGGAGGGACACGGAGTTGGAGGAGACTTATTTGAGACAAGGAGAGGCTTCTGGGATGACGGTGGAGGAGGAAGGTGAGCTGGGTGCTTTCTCTGACTCTCTGAGCTAGTGGGCTGTGTAAGTTAAGAAAGAGCATCAGCAAGATCAAACTCAGAGTACTTTTCCCCTTCTGGGTCTGGATCTTTTCTACTGTGAGCTGGCTTCCATGGGCGTCCAGGACATTTGTGGGATGTTGCTTCTGGAAAGTCAGATATCAGCTTAAATGAAAGGCTATCTGGTTGTACATGGATATCAGGGATGAAATCATCATCGTTCTCAGTGGCATATGGTGGTGGGGTAACCACCATATCATCAATTAAATCTGAGTCCTGAAAGTCAGAAGAGGTAATCATTACACTTGGCTGAGCTAGGGGAGGGCTAGAGGTGGTCCTTCCCTGTGCCTGTGTGAAGGATATAGTACTACTGTCTTCAGAAGAGCTTGCCAAAGGCTCTGTTCTCTGGTCAGTGTGCTTTCCTTTGTTTTTGTCTTTATTTTTGTGTTTACCATGACCATGACCATGCTTATGACCATGTTCCACTAGATGTCTGTGGTCAAAGCCATCTTCCCTTTGGGGTTTAAGATGAACTAATTTATGCTGATGTCCATGGCCAAGGCCATGCCTCTTTGGGGGCCAGTGGCCTTGGTGATGCCCATGCTTATGACCATGGTCAACCTTATGCCTCATTTGTTTGTCATGCCCATGAGTGGGTCTTCCTTCACTTTCTGGATCCTGCTCTTCTTGTGCCATGGAAGTGTAGGGTGGACTTACAGTTGTTCCTTCTTTTGTTTCTTGAACTTGGACTGACCGGAAAGGTGAAAAACCTGGAGGCCTTCTCATCATTGTAATCTAAACAGGAAATATTAGGATGAATGCATTATGTCAGAACCACACTGTCAGTAAGGGAAAGGGAGACTAAGACCCTGATGATGCCATTTTGGTTTACAATGGGGTGATTTTTGCTAGGTCTTAAATACTATATTAATTTTCTAGAAAAATTAATTAACAATATGCCTTCTCTTTGGATTGTTCTTGAGGTTTGTGGACTTTGTGTACTGGAGATTAATCACCAGACCTTATACATGTGGGCAAGTACTCCACCACTGAGTTCTATCCCCAGCCTTGCCCGACTATTGTTCTTAATAATATTCCCAAGGCTGAGAGTTTTTCTTCATTTGGAAAAACTGGGTGGTTGAACTACACGTAATAGCTGGGGTACACTGATAACACTTCTATTACAACAGTTGCCGTTTTTATCCTTAAAGGCTTCTTTACAGCTCCACTCTGTCAGCTGAGCCACCAAAGAGCTTGCTCACAGCTGGATCAGAAAGCTTTTTACAGTGTGTAGAGACACTATGCAAATGACAAGGACCTAAACCAGAAAAAGAGAGGTGGCAACTTGAAGGAAAGCATGGCTACCTTGACCCTCTCCACCTCCACTTTTACCACCTGTGAGAGGTGACAGCTGAAGCAAGTGTTCAAAGGTGAAAGAACTTCGGCTTCAGAGACAAGCAAGATCTCCTAGAAATCAGGACCATGATGGGAAGGGTGGGCTCTGATTTGACCTGCACTGGATGCTGTACAAATTAACTTCGCTTTTCTGCGAAATAAACATAACAGCAGCTGCCTAAGGACTGGGGAGAAAGTGCAGGCAGTTTGCTGTGCAGAGCCAGGGACAAGGAGCAGAGTGATGTGATTCACTCGGGAGCTTCAAGGCATATTCAATTATTTATTTATTCATTCATTCATTCATTTATTTTTGGTTTTTGGTAAAGCAGCTCTGGCTGTCTTGGAACTCGCTTTGGAGACCAGGCTGGCCTTGAACTCACAGATATCTGCTTGTCTCTGCCTCTGAGTGTGGGGATTAAAGGTGTGAGCCTCCATTGCCTGGCTCAAATTGCAAATCTGAGTGTCCCATCTTTGATAACTAACAAAGTGCTAGACACAACAGGACATTCTTTAAAGACTTAGAAGGATGATGTAGAGTAACCTTACAGAATTGGATCATGTGTGGGAACCCTTTGAGGAGCTTTTTAAAATGCAGGTTAAGATTCATTAACTGTGGAAGGGGAGTAGGTCACAGAGTCCTTGAATGTACAATGCACAGTGCTGTATGTGTCTGAGGCATATCTTGGAGGTGTGTGTCTAGTGTCAGTGCCTGGGCTGGCTCCTCACTGCCAGCCACAGAGCATTGACAATGAGTTCAGTGACCAAGAGTTTGCCTGTTCTCCTTTCCAGCCGAAAAAAAATCAAGATCAGCATAGAAACATACAACTTCTTACTATTTTAAAAAGAAAGACCCCCCCACCGCCCCAGTTTATTTCAGTAATAATTTGTTTTCAATACCCAGATAGGGCTTTTTGGAATAGGCAGAACTGGCCCCAAGCTGAATTCCTACCATTTCTAATGCTCGGCAGTTGACAGTCGGTTCGACTTTGTTCTCCCAAGGTCTCATGTACACGTTAGCGTTGCAGTTGAGACTTTGCTAATCAAGAAAGCAGAAGCCAAGAGAAAAATTGTCAGTCATGAGGCATGTGAGAAAGTGACTCTTAAAGCATCACATAGGCACCACGCTACTCACGCCAACGGGTTTGACTTCACAGTTTTCTGTCAGTTCTGCATTGCTCTCCTTGGAACATTCAGTTTCTCTGGCTATGAACTCGATAAAATATTTCATTCCAGCCACCACCTGTAAAGTTATTTAGAACAAAACAAGTGTTTAATAAGGATTTGTACAGTTAATTGTACACTTTCACTCCAGTGAGTTTCACTCCTTGACATTTTCATTATATATTGACCATCTTAAATAGTCATACTCCCCATCTGATGCAGACTTTCAGTTTGTGGACATATCTAAGATTTCTGGATATTAGTTGGGCTAGCTTCCTTTGCTAAGCAGAAGAAAAGCAGGCTATACTGTTTGATATACACGTATCAATTTCAATGTTCAAAAGCTACAAACAGCATTCACTAGTAACTCAGGGCTTAAGTTATAATACATTCTGAGGCATGGTAAGGCAACCTTAAAATATTTTCTTGATGTTGTCAAACACTGAATCAGTAAGTTCTTATGTATATTAAATTACACAATTAGGAAAATATTTTGATTATCTATTGCTTTTTTATATTTTTAATATTGTGAAACCTCTTAAATCTTTAAACTATCTGTCTATCTATCTATCTATCTATCATCTATTTATTTATTTCAGACAGGGTCTTACTCTGTAGCCCTGTATGCGTCTGTGTTTGGAGTATTACATAGCTATAGAAAAGAATGCATCTATATGTATTGACCTGGAAATACAGCTCTTATTGAAAAAAAAAAAAAGGAGGGGATTAAATACTGGTAGCACAATCCCATTATGTAAAAAAAACAATTGAAACCTTTTCTAGCTCTTCATGCTTTTATTGTTTTATCTGTACTAGGGATGGGTGCTAGGACCCAGAGGCCCACCATTGAGCCATATTCTCAACGTTTTTAATTTTTATTTTTTTATTCGAGACATAATCTCATTATGGCCTGTAACAAGTGGTATCAAAATCAAAATCACCACCTTCCTGCCTCAGCCTTCCAAGTGCTAGAATTATAGGTGTTAGCTGCCATCCTGGCTTCCAGATGCTGACAGCTCAACCTAATTCAGAGCTGGGAGGGGCAAATTCAACACACCTAGAAGGGTTTCAAGACTGCATCCACACTGCCACCACCAGAGGCGCACTTATCAAGGTTTCCAATGCATGAAGCATGAAGCCACAGTGCCCAAGTTCATTCCTTTGTTTTTTGTTTTTTTTTTTTTCCCAGTAGAGAACATTATATGCCAATATAAATCCCAGGTATATTTGAAAGTTAAAAGAATAACTAATGAATAAATATTAATCAGAGCCCAGGATATGGAAGGACATTCCTAAGAGGAACAGTGGGAGCAAGCCTAAAGTAAAAGGAAAATGTTTACTTAAACATTTTGATAAGCAATAATAGAAATTATTTCTCAAAATTCAGAGTAAGTGGCATAGCACCGTGGTGCATGCTTTTAATCCTAGCAAGTGGGAGCAGAGAGGCAAGTGGATCTTTGTGAGTTTTAGGCCAGCCTGGTCTACATAGTGACTTCCATGCCAGCCTGAACTATATAATGAGATCCTGTCTCAAAAGTAAAATAAGAATAAAAGTATCTAGGAATATATCCAACTAAAGAAGTCAAAGACCTCCACAATGAAGTTTTCAACATATCAGCAAAGGAAATTATAGAAGGTACTAGACAATAGAAAAAGAGTTCATGTTCCTGGATAGGCAAAATCAATATTGTGAAAATGTCCAAATGACAAAAATTAATATACGGAATTAATGCAATACCTATAAAAATCCCATGTCGTATTTCACAGGCTTAGAAAAAATAATACAAGAATTCATATGGTACTACAGAAGTGTGAGTACCCAAAGCAACCCTAAGGAGCAAGAACAATGCTGAAGCCACGTAATACTTTACCTCAAAAAAAAAAAAAAAAAAAAAAAAAAAAAAAAAACACACACACACACACAGTGACAGAGACAGCCGACAGCCTTCGATTGGCACAGGAACCAGCCCCAAGTGTCAACAGAAGGGACTACATGAAAATAGTCTCTGCACAACCAAGGAAACAGCAGGATACACAACCCACAGCATGGGGTTATCTCTACTAGCTAGACTAGACGGCAGGCAGACAGAGTTTACAGAGAATTATAGACATTAAATGCCAAGGGAATAAAACTGTCAATCAACAAATAGACAAACACACTCATAGGAAGTTTTCTGTGTGTTTGTTTGTTTGCTTGTTTTGTTGGGTTTTTGGTTTGTTTTTGTTTTTGTTTTTTTGAGACAGGGTTTCTCTGTGTAGCTTTGTAGACCAGGCTGGCCTTGAACTCATAGTGATCCTCCTGCCTCTGCCTCCCAAGTGTTGGCATTGAAGGTGTGTATCACCACATCCAGCTCTGATAGGCAGGTTTTTTTGTTTTGCTTTGTATTGTTTTGTTTTGTTTTAAAAAAACACAAATAGCCAATAACTATTCAAAAAAGTGTTTAGTGTTCCTACCCTTCAGGAAAATGCAAGTTAAAAACTTCCTCAAGATAACGCCTCTTCCCACTCAGCATGGCTACAATTAATCAATCCAACAACAAAATCAGAGAGGATATGGAGAGAAATGAACCCTTATTCACTGTTGGTAGGGATGCAAATTAATACAGCCATTATGGAAACCAGTTTGAACATTCCTTTAAAAAACGTTTTAAAAAAAGTAGAACTACTATATGACCCATCTATATCACTCTCTGCATATGCCCAGAGAACTCCACACCCTTCCATAGATATTTATACCCCATGTTTATTACTGTTTCATTCATTATAGCCAAGAATTGACATCAATCTAATTGTTCATCAATAGATGATGGACAAGAGATAAGGAAAATTTAGTAATATATATGTACACTGGAATATTACTCAACTCTGAAGAAAAAATGAAATTAAAAATTTGCAGGAAAATACACGGGTTTAGAATGCATAATAAATATTAAATGAGGTTGCATAATCTCAGAAAGAAATATATCACATGTTTTCATATGAGGAACCTGGCCAATAATATACTTAAATCAATGTACATATGAAGATAGTATAAGATGAAGGAAAGAGAACAAGAATGAAAATATAAAGCTAATTGGTTTTTTAGTGCTACTTCTGTCATGGACTTTTTGGTTTTGATGACGAATAAGTACATAAAATACATTTGATACTGCAAACATAAAACAATGTGAAGCTTCACAACTTCTGTTTTGATACTAACTATATTTGCATATGTTCATTAAGCTATATAGTTGGTAATATACTGTTTATGATTTATTAAAGCCGCTGATGATCAGAGAAGCAAAGCAGCCAAGCCATTAGCTCTTACCGTTATCTCAGGCTGAAAGGCTGATCTCTCCCTGAGCTCTCACCAAGCCTCAGACTGCTGCCTCTCCTCAGTGTAGCTGGAGAATCAATGTCTTCCTATCCTCAAAGTGACTGGAGAATCAATGCCAGCTGAGACCCTGTTCCTGTCTTAAGTGCCTCTCATGAGTCCTGGGATTAAAGGTGTAAGCTCTGTTACTCTTTTAGACTGACTCAATCTTGTGTAGCCCTGGGTGGCCTTGAACTCAGCGAGATCCATTTGCCGTCTCCTCAGTCCTGGGATTAAAGGTGTATTCCACCACTGCCCAGCTTCTATGGATAACTACTACAGCTGCTTTGCTATTTTGATATCTAGTGGCTTTAATAAATCATAGACAATAATAAATCATCACAATATAGACTTTGAGTGTGGTTAATTTTGGAGTGTGATGTTTATTTGTTTATTAAAGTTTATTAAAAATGATAGGTAAGATACCACAATAAGCAAAGTAAAAAGGCAAATGGGTAAAGCTGAGATGAAGGATAAAGACTGTAGTGAGCATAAAACCCAATGTTGAAAAGTGGACTGAGGCCTGAATATCTCAGAAAAGACAATATAGTGTGCACCAGTCAGGAAAAGGTTTACTGTTGCTAATAAGCAAAGACACGTGCTGTGAAAAAGCAGAGCAACATCATTTTCAATTGTCCACGCCAACAAGGATTGAGGACATGCAGACACTGTTGGTCAGGTGCACATTTGGTCCCTGCTGGGATGAGCAGAATCAACACTAGATCCTTTTTAGTGATTTCTATCTCAAGGGCTGGTTCTTGCCTCCCATGTCATGAGGTCCTCTCACGTAGCCCAAAGTTCATTCTTAAATAGTAATTATTTTTATCAGCTCTCTCCCTTCCTTCCTTCCTTCCTTCCTCCTTCCTTCCTTCCTTCCTCCCTCCCTCCTTTCCTTCCTTCTTCTTCTTCCTTTTTTCCTTTCTTCTCTCTTTTTATATATCTATATCTATATATCTATATATTTGTTTGTTTATTTTGTTTCTGAGACAGGGTTTCTCTGTGTATTCCCAGCTATCTTGGAATCAGAACACTGTAGATCAGGCTGACCTCAAATTCACAGATATCCACATGCCTCTGCCTCCTGAGTATTGGCATTAAAGCCGTGCACGAGCACCTCTGGTCATCAGTTCCTTTCTTGAACTGCCTTCCATCTCTCCATTTTGTTCCCTTAGCACTAATGTGGCAGTTTGCATCAAAAGTCTCAGGTATATGCAAATTGAATTGGTGGTTTAGTTCATCCACAGCCCCAGAGAACAACATCCATAGTCCCTGGAAACACCATCCACAGCCCCAGAGAACACCATCCACAGCCCAGAGAACACCATCCACAGCCCCAGGGAACACCATTCACAGCCCCAGGGAACAGCATCCACAGCCCCAGGGAACAGCATCCACAGCCCCAGGGAACACCACCCACAGCCCCAGGGAACAGCATCCACAGCCCCAGGGAACAGCATCCACAGCCTCAGGGAACACCATCAACAGCCCCAGGGAACAGCATCCACAGCCTCAGGGAACACCATCCACAGCCCCAGAGAACACTATCCACAGCCTCAGGACCTGCAGCAGTGGGGCAGAAATCTCACTCATGGAAGGTAGAGATTCAGAGCTTGGTGTTATAACTATCAATCCAGTTTGGAGTGGAAGCACAGTCTAATAGAATTAAACAGATAAAACAAAGGTAATTTTGAGCTTTGCCCCAGACATTTTCAGGTAGAAAACAGACCTTTTGTTTTGATTTGGACTTTTTGTTTTTTGAGACAGGGTTTCTTTGTGTAGCCTAGATGTCCTGGAACTAGCTCTGTAGACCAGACTGACCTTAAACCATAGATTTGCCTACCTCTGCCTCCTAAGAGCTGGGATTAAAAGTGTGTGCCATCACTTCTAGCAAACAGAGAATGTTAACTATACTTGTCCAAAACACTCAAGCACACAGAAGGGTTAGGACTTTGGAATTTAAACCAATAAATCCTGTTACCAAGTATGGTTTCCCCAACCAGAGCCAAGACAGGGGTGAGGGTTGGGGGGTGTCAAATTAGCAATCGGTCTACACATAGGCTACAACTTCCCATCTTTGCAACTATTTACAGACCTGTGATGTCGCTTTTTTCACGGTGTCAATCTTGAAATAGAAAGAATGGCTATTCTGTGTGTTGAGTTTTCTGATGGCATGACCAAGTGCCTCTGTCACCTCTGGGCTGTCTACAGGAATTTTCCTGGGGCATCCAGGGCAATCCTCAGGAAGTGGTTGTACCAAATCCTCTCCTGAAAAAAAAAATAGGTTTAAAGTCACCAGGTACAACCAAAGAGTAGTCTAGCCTGGTTTCTGTCACAGAGAAGCCCAGCATCCTCATTTACATAAGGTAGGAAGTAACCAGAGCAGGGTTAAGGGAAGGTGGTCCACGAGACAGCCATGTTCTTTCTCTCTTCTTTGTCTTCCTTGTAACTTGGGTGTTTAAGATGTGTTGAGCCATATGCTGTACTTGATTTGAATCTGCCCGGCCCCAAGACAGGGTCTGATGTGTCCCAAGCCAGCCTTGAATTCTACATGTAACAAAAGTTGGTCTGAAACTTCTGATCCCCCTGCTTCAGCTTCCTGAGTGATGTGATTACAGGTGTGCCACCATGCCCAGTTTAAAATTTCACATCCTTGATGTAAACTAAAGAGAAACGTGTAACTAGAGGAAGGGTCTGGTGAACTTAAAGGAACGACCCTCCAATGGGGATCCCTCAAACAGGCAGTGTCATTGTGCCTCTCATCACCACATGTGCACAGTGGTGCCTCTTGTTATGACATGTGCAGAACTATCTGTAACTGAGAGAAGCCAGCCCTTTTCATGAGAAATGTTGATTTAGCCATAAGCTTCTCACCCCCACCATAACACTCAGGGAAACCCACCTTTATCTGGAAGGATCCCATTGTGGGTGGTTAAAAACAAAATGCAGTTCTCTCCAACTCAAAACAGCACATTTAAGAACAATTTGTGTAAAAGCAAAACTAGCTGGCGTTGCACCTGAAGGACACACACTGTCCCTTCTGGCACTGTGCTGCCATGGCCATTTCCAGATGGGGTGCACCTGGGTGAGAAGGCAGCCCTCCCTACTTCACCATGGCTCCTCATGCGCCTACTCACCTGGGTAAAGGTCACAGTTCTGGGAGAAGTCAGCGATTCTTTGCTTGATATCCACATAGGCATTATGTCTACACTCACCGACATCCTAGTGGTTCAAAATCAGAAATTAAAACCAATTTTGAAGGCAAACAGCTAGTAAAAATAAAAGATAATATGCCTGCTTTACAAATCCTTGCATAAGGAAAAGGGAAAAAAGGGAATAAAAGCTGAAAGCAAAAGAAAATGAGAAGTGTATGAGAGTATCAACAGCAACACACACACACACACACACACACACACACACCACAAATAAGAATAGCCACTACATGGTAAATGTATAAGTAAGTGGATTACTCTCTGTCTTTCTGTTTCTCTCTCTCTCTCTCTCTCTCTCTCTCTCTCTCTGTGTGTGTGTGTGTGTGTATGTGTGTGTGTGTGTACACAAGGGCAGGATGATGAATCTTTTGAAGCTGAAGTTATAGGAGGTTGTGAGCTTCCAGATGCTGGATGTGGGTGCAGGGAATCAAACTCAGGTCCTCTACAAGAGCAGGGCTTCCTTCTAATTGTTCAGCCACCTCTCTGGACTCTCCACCTTAGCTTGTGAGAAGGATCTCCCACTGAACCTGGAGCTCATTTGGCTGCTGTCAAGTGAGCCGGGGCTCCTGTTGCTGTCTTCTTGGTGCTGAGATTATAGGTGTTCTCTGCATGTGTGGTAGAGACCCAAAGACAAGCACTTTACTGACTGAGATCTCTCTCCCCCAACTCCAATTTTTGCTTTGTTTTGTTTTAGAGGCAAAGGTGAGATGAGCATATGGTCTTTCTATGCATCTGCACAGGTGAGCACACTCACACATACATATACCATACACAAAGAACACAATGGGCAAAGAATACAATTATTCATCCAGAAATTCAAGCCATAAGTTTCTAGCATCTTTATAAAAAACACTTCAGCAAAATAAACACATTAGCTGAATTATTGATTGAGAAAACTAAAACTAAACTATTTTTAGCAAATAACTAATGAACAAATGAAGAGTTTAATGGTTTCATAATGACTTATATCACATACAAAACTGGGGCCTTATTCTTGAGGAAAAATACCAAATGCAGGAACAATTTTATCATAAAAATGTTTGCTGTTACTAATTATATGAAAAATAGAAAAAAATGTAGATATCCAAAGGTAGGAGCACTGTTGTAAAAACCATCTATGATGTCTTTGCCTGAATACTATACAGTTATTGAAAAGTTTACCAAGATTTCTAATGGCGTGGAGAAATTCATTGGTGGAAGAAAACAGAGCATGTAAACAATCACAGGACTGGAGAGATGGCTCAGCAGCTAAGAGCACTGACTGTTCCTACTGAGGACCAGGGTTTAATTCCCAGCATTCCCATGACAGCTCCCAACCAACCACAACTTCAGTCCCTAGGAATCTGATGTCCACTCTGGCCTCTGTGGACACTGCAAGCATATGTGCAGCACACACCTTATACATGCAGGTGAAACACCCATACACTTGAAATAAAATAAATACATATAAAAAATTAAATAAAACAATCACAACTTTTAAAAGAGAAAACGTTACTGAAAAATTCCTATAAATTCCCCTTTCTCCATCTCCCCCAAAAAGATAAAGTGAAAATGCACTGAGAGGTCTTTGGGCCTCTGGTTCAATATGAACATTCTCTGTGCTTCTACATCGCATACAGTTTTTTTGTTTGTTTGTTTGTTTTTTGAGACAGGGTTTCTTTGTGTAACCGTGTCCTGGCTGTTTTGGAACTCTGTAGACCAGGCTGGCCTCAATCTCAGAGATCTACCTGCCTCTGCTTCCCAAGTGCTGGGATTAAAGGCATGCACCACCACTGTCTGGCTATTACCTACAGCTTTAAGACAATATTTATCTTTCCAATAAACCATAGGGCATTACAATTGTGCTGTGTTGGTGCTGGATGAGGAGTATGGTATCGTAGCCATTCTCAATTCCAGCAGCAGCTTTGACTCACTTAGAAACTTTAGTGTTTGGGTCACTGACCTGACTGACAACCACACCAGATCATTCTGGGGGCCCTGGGACAGGTATTTCCAAAAGCCACCAGGTGATGCTGGTACACTTTCCATATTGGCACTGGATTGTGAAACCTCTCCAATTATAAAACAATGTGTGTACAAGGGTCATCAAGAGAGGCTCATGAGGATGGACTTGGACTTGGACGTGTGGGTTCGGACTTCAGACTTTCTAACAAGCTTTCAACCACCAGCAAAATGTTTTCTATTACATTTTCTTTACTTTTATACAAGCTGGGAACTCGTTGCTAATACCATTTCTTATCTTACAAGGAAGGAAGTGAAGTCTCAGAGAAGCTACACAAAAGCAACTGGCATTTTCTAGTTTTGCCAAGATGCAATTTAATTAACAGCTTATAAAAAAGATGCAGAAAAACAAGGCTGTGTGGTATTAAGAGCCATACAGCTTCCAGTGTAGTTGTGGAGTCTAAGAAACACAGAGACCTTCATATGCTAGAACTGTCCCAAACTGACAAAGTTAAATAGTAGTTAGAATATATGAATTTTTAGAGTGTTTCCTTTTGGGATAAAAACAATTGTGTGTATATGAAATAAGATATAAAGATAGGATTCTATATATAAAATGTAAACTTTTCCATTTAAAACATTGAAAGTTGTAGAATTAGCTGGCATTAATTAAAATCCACCATGCTGTACAACATCACTACTAAAATACTTTCACCCCAACAGAAATTCTGAACCCAGTAAGCAAAAGGTTTGCATCCTGCCCTTTCTTGCCCCCCCCCCCAACTTTCCTTTTTGTGTGTGTGTGTTTTGTTTTATTTTGTTTGTTTGTTTTTCGAGACAGGGTTTCTCTGTAACTTTGGAGCCTATCCTGGAGCCTATCCCGGAACCAGGCTGGTCTGGAACTCACAGAAATCCACCTGCCTCTGCCTCTGCCTCCCAAGTGCTGGGATTAAAGGTGTGTGCTGCCACCACCGCCTCCCTTCCCCAAACTTTCATCTACTTCCTATCTTTATGAATGTGCTTCCCTTATATATTACATACTTTATTTACCCCATGCTTCAAGGTTCACTTATGTTGAAGGTGTGTCATCCTTTGGTGTATGTATGTAGGATGCCATTCATCCACTCACCTGCTGTCCTGGTTATTATTTTTTTTTCCTAACTTGACACAAACTCAAATTATTTGGGAGGAGGGAAACTCCATTGAGAAAATGCCTCCATCAGATTAACTTGTAGGCAAGTCTGTGGAACATTTTCTTAAAAAAAAAAAAAAGGAATATATAGATATAGATATAGAGATAGATAGATAGATAGATAGATAGATAGATAGATAGATAGATAGATAGATAGATAGTGTTTTGCCTATGTGTGTGTCTACCACGTACCTGGTGCCTGTGCAGGTGTCAGAAACCCTGGAACTGGAGTTCCAGAAGGTGTTGACCCACCATGTGGGTGCTGAGAATGGAAATTGTGTCCTCTGGAAGAACAGTAAGTGCGCTGAGCTATCTTTCCAGCCCTGACATTTTCTTGATTCATGATTGACATGGGAGGGCCCAGCCCACCGTGAATGGTACCAGCCTGGGAAGGCGGTCCTTGGAGGCAGGAAAGAGATAAACAGGAGCCTGAGCAGGGAGATTGTGAGAAGATTCTTCGTGGTTATGTTTAGTTCCTACCTCCAGGCTCTTGTCTGAGTTTCTGCCTTGACGCCCTTCCGTGACTTTTGATGACATAAACTCTTCCCTTCTCAAGTATTTTTGGTCAGTATTTTATCATGCCAACAGAACTAAATAGGACCCCTGTGGATGGGCACGCAGGTTGTTTTTACTTTTTGTTTCTGTGAGCAGTGATGCTGGGGACACTTTGTTTGTTTAGGCTTCTGTTTTGAGTTCCTTTGGGGAACTGCACCTAGAAATGCAGTTACAAGGGCACCTACTCATTTTCTGTTCAGTGTAATTTTATGTATTTATTTGTATATTAGGTGTGCATAACTTCATCTGTGTGTGTGTACACATTCAGAAGCCAGAAGTTGATGTCAGAGGTCTTAGTTTCTCTCCAACTTATTGGTTGAGATGGGGTCCCTCACTGAACCTGGAGTTCTCCTGTTAAGTTAGGGCCAGTGAATGGCAGGAATCCTCCTGTCTCTTCCTCCCTAGTGCTGGGAATAAAGGACATGCCACCACTCCTTTATGTGAGTGCTGGTGATTGATATTTATTTAGGCTTTTTGAAACAGGGTTTCTCTAAGTTGCCCTGGCCTGCCTTAAACTTTCTGTACACCAGACTGGCCTTGAACTCACAGAGATCGTCCTGCCTCTGCCTCTGCCTCCTAAGTGCTTGGATTAAAGTCATGTACCAACACCATGGCCTGGCTTTTTTTTTTTTTTTTTTTTTTTTTTTTGTTTTTGTTTTGTGTGTGTGTGTGTGTGTGTGTGTGTGTGTGTGTGTGCGCTGGTGATTTGAACTCAGGTTCCCATGTTTTCACAGCAAACACTTAACTGGCTCTGCCACGCCTATAGCCCCTGTTCAGTGTCATTTTATATTTAACCCTTTGAGGAACTGCCAAAATGTTTTCTGAGAGGCTGCAGTCACTTACATCCACATAACAGCTCACAACCATCTGTAACTCCAGTTCCAGTGCTTCTGACATACATGCAGGCAAAACATCAATGCACGTAAAATAAAAATAAACTATATAAAAATTACCTCAAATTAGCATATTGTGGTCTAGATTTCCCACTGTTTCCTTGGTGTAGGATATTATTTTAAGGTATGTTATATTTATTTGTGCTGTGGAACATTTGTTTAATGATGCTTGGGTGTGTTGTATTCTTTATGTTCCATTTGTTTAACTCTGAAGCTGTGTTACTTTGCCTGCCTTAAACACCTGGTGGTCTAATAAAGAGCTGAATGGTTGATAGCCAGGCAGGAGAAAAGATAGATAGGTCTGGCAGGCAGAAAGACAAATAGGAGGAGGCCAGCTAGCTACCCAGTCTCACAGCCAGCCTTGGAGTAAGAGTGAAAGTAAGATTACAGAAGTAAGGAAAGGAAAAAGCCCAGAGGCAAAGATAGATAGGATAATTTAAGTTAAGACAAGCTGGCAAGAAACAAGCCAAGCTAAGGCTGGGAATGTATAAGAAATAATAAATCTCTGTGTGTGATTTATCTGAGAGCTGGGTGGTGGGCCCCCAAAAGAGCAAAGGATTAAAAGCAACTAACTACATTCCCTTGTAAAACAGAACTACTAGATTAAAGAATTATCTACAACATTATCCTGGGAAGGCTAATGTGCCTCAGTCACATGGGCATTCGCCAGACATTGCATAGTCATTGACATCATTTCTGTGTAAATGTGGTTGAGATGACAAGATGTCATCCACAAAGGGATAGAATCCCAGAATGTGTTTATTAAAATGAAGGTAGATGAGGAAACAAGGAGAGAAGAGCTTGAAGTAAGGAACCGGGGTCTAGAGGACCCTGTCAGAACACTGAGCACACATGACATATGACATCGGAGGAGACTAGGTGCATATGACAACCCAGGCCCCATTTCTGATCCCTGATGAATGTGTGACATGTTCAGTCTTTGATCAGCAACTTAGTGTGACATGTGCAGTCTTTGACCAGCAACTCGAGATTCACAACAGGAATGTGAACTACTAGATGACATCTTAGCTTTAGTGACAGTCATCCTGCAATGCTTGGCAGTCCTGTCCATGCTGTTAACAAAGTGTTAAAGACGATCATTAAACTTTTGCCTACTTACACCGTCTGGAAGGGATTTGCACTCTGGAGTTAAGAGTAGAAAATGCTTCTTTGAACAGTTAGTTTGCACAATTGAGTAGGTGATTTCAAAGTTCAGTCCTGCTACCACCTGCAACGATTTTAGATTGAGTGAGTACTTGCAGTTCAGTTGAACATAATTCACAGCGAGTGAAAGTTATAAACACCTTTAAACACTGAATTAGATATAATAAGAGCTCCAGGAATACAAACCTTCGTTATTACTAGGCAAGTAATCACTGAGTAAATATTGATTATCTTCCCACATACACACTCTCTCATGTAACTGCAAATGAGTGTGTGTGTGTGTGTGTGTGTGTGTGTGTGTTTTTTCAAACAAAGACACCCATAATTTTTCCTTCTCCCAGTTGGTAAGAGGGCATGTTTCTTCCAGTTTTGTGAAGCAATATGATTTTCTACACAGGAGGAGTGTGGAATAGGAGTGGCCTTTCTTGGCGAGTCTTCTGGTCTCAGGTCATCAGGCACTGAAATTCTGCTTTGTTCTTGGCAGGTTCCATGCTGACCACCATCCGCATACTGAACCACCCATCACCTCATGATGAACAGGTGGGTAAAGTACAAATCTCACACAGTGGCAAGCTAAACTAACAGTAGAGAATGTCAGAGAGGCAGAGGTAGGCAGAGCTATGATTCTGAGGCCAGCCTGATTTACATAGTTGGGTTCCATGATAGCCAGGGCTGTGTAGTGAGACTCTGCCTCAAACAAACAACCCAAATAAATAAATAAATAAATGATCAGATTACTAGCTTTTTCCAGCCACCACCAAGAGGAAGTGGGCAGTATAATTCAGGGTGTACCCAGAAAGTCACGTCCACTCTTTTAGGAACAATGTAACATTTTGAAATTTGTTAAAGCCCTAAAGGCAGAGTGACCATTTTCATTTTCTGTCTCTGGGAAAAACATGCCATGCTGACTGTTTGCTTGCTACAAACAAACCCAAGGAAGAAGATGTGAGACCTGCCCTTTCCTTCTTACATGAGACCCTTACTTGCTTGGACCCCAGAGAAAGCTCCTTTCTTTAAGAGTTATTCTTATGAAAACACAGAAGGACACTCCAGTGCCATGCCAGCATGTCCCACACAGCTTCTTCCTGCCACTGGGTAATTTATTTTGTGTGACAAAATGCTGATCTGACAGATTTTTAACCATATCACATATCATGAAAAACTGAAACAAACCTGTCTCTGGGCTGTTTTTACTTCTTCGAGAGCAAAGAGGTGGGAATGATTGGTTTTGTTGTTGAAATGCTCAATGGCGTGTTTCAGAATAGGCTGCAGTTCAGGGTTATCCGTCGATATGGGATGTACACAACCCAAACAGGTATACTCATCTGTCACTATGGGCCCATTACCTTGACAAAGAGCAGACAAAGAGGTGGCATTAACAACTGAGAACACCTCTCATATACGCGGTCCTAAACCCGAGCCATTTAGAAGAGCCTGATGAACTGACTTCCCAGTAACTCCTATATGAGTTAAAGATAGTAAGAGTCTCGAACTCCTCTGTAGTGAGAGGAAAAAATGGAGAGTATAAAGATAGGGTGTTTTTTTATGTTATATTATTTCATTTTTAAGGCAGAGATCTCATATTCCCCAAGGCTGGCCTGGAACTATCTGAGTAGCTAAGGATGGCCACGAAAGTTTGATCTTCCTTCCTCTACTTTTCTCTACAGGCTTCTGTGCCTGCTTTATGTAGTGATGTGAACTGAACCCAGGCCTTCATGTATACTAGCTAATTGGAACACAGTTCAGGAATGGAATCGTGTGAGAATTCTGAGTGCCTATGAGAACACTCCAAGAAAACAAGACAAGAGACCTCAGTTGCTTCAAAACAGAATTGTTCTTGGAGTGTGTTTTTGGGCCCCTCCCAGGTGTAGCAGATAGGAGGGAGTTTACTTCAGATTACTAATTATAGCTTGCTGTTGCTACTCAATTAAATGTTTAAGCTATCCTTTATATGACTCTTTGGAAAGACATGTTTTTGGCCACAGTGTGGCTTGTCCTTGTAATTGTATACAGCTTGAACTCATAAGAACTTTACTCATGTGATCTTTCTTTCTTTAACAAAATTTTAAAAAGATTTACTGTATGTTTGCAGGCCAGAAGAGGGCACCAGATCTCATTACAGATGGTTGTGAGCCACCATGTGGTCCTAAGGGAATTGACCTTAGGACCTCTGAAGAGGTGATCAGTGCTCCTAACTTCTGAGCCATCTCTCCAGCCCCTCACATCTTCCTTAACCCTCACAGTATAAACTGTCTGAGGCTCTGAATAAAGTTGGTTATTGCATAAGACTTAGTCTGCCTCATTTACCAACCCCATACTAAGTCCCACCACCTCCAGAGCAGTGACACTAGCAGAGCTACATCATTAGACCCTTATTTTAATGCATTTTAAATGGTCACAGAATTACATTAACTCACCATTTTATAAGAGGGAGAACATTACAGATATATAGCTATTTTCGATGTTAAAGCTTCTTGATGCCTAACTGCATTTATTTCCTGTTATTTGTCCTGACAAATTCAATCTGATGCTTTGGCTCATGGAGAACTCTCCCAAGCATGTTTGTGTTTCCATTTTTTTATGTCACACAATGTAGTTATACTTTGTTCATCTTTACATGAGTTTCATCATCTAAAACAAGTCATTGGCAGGTAGAAAACATGATTGTGTGCTGGCAGGAAGACACTCCTTTGTTATCATATGATTAGTTGTGGTTTAAATGTAATTAGCCTCCAAAATCTCATAGGGAGTGGCACTGTAAGGAGGTGTGGACTTGTTAGAGGAAGTGTGTTACTGTGGGGATGGATTTGAGATTTCCTAAGCTCAAGATACTGTCCAGTGTCACAGTCCATTTTCTGTTGCCTTCTGATCAAGGCATAGCCAACACCATATCTGTCTGCACACTGCCATGTTCCCCACAATGATAACAGTGGAGCAAACCTCTGAACTATAAACCACACTGAATTAAACAGTTTCTGTTATAAGAGTTCCTATGGTCATGGTGTCTCTTCATAGAAATAGAAGCACTAACTAGCATAGAAGGCAAGAGGCTTTCTTATTAGTTAGCACAAGGGGAGCTTTGGTTGAAGTTTGTCTGCCTCTGCTCTCACATGCCAGGTGCTGAGCTAGGGTATAGGGAGACATTAAGTGTCACTTCCATGAAGGAATGACAATCAGGTAGAACAGAACGAGTGTAAACAGATCATCTCATTGGGGTGGGCAAGAGCTAGGAAAGACAGGAGGCTAAAATGAGATCAGGGAAGATGTCTAAGAAAATGAAGGTGCCTGAGCTGTAAGAAAGAAGGTGGCAAGATGTATAGGGTCAGGATGAGTTGAGGAATAATAGTGTAGGAGGTAGCATCTATTTGTTTTATCAGAGCATCCAACCTGATTAGAGATATGGACAATTGGAGAGAGGCTGTGCTCCAGGCAGGGACTACTAACAGCACATCTAGTCTAGTCACTCTCTAGTCCCAAAACTCATGAGAGCCATAGTCCCTCCCCAGGAAAACGCAAATAGTCACAACATTGATGTATGATTTTAGGGTTCTCATAGACCCTCTGAAATGAACAAAGAATACATGACTGTGGAAAGCTGCAGAGTGGGTAGTATGTGCAGTAGAGACACCACATCAGGATGGAAGGCTTCCTTACCACTTGGGAACACACTTCCTGGGTGTGTTCTGTCATTGGATCTCTATCTCTTTTTCTCTTTCTCCACCCCACCTCACAAGAGGCCAGCTCTAGGAAGGCTTTCATGACTGGCATTTCCCATATACACCTCTCCCTCTATAAGGCCTTGGTACCTTTACAACATTATCTAAAGTGATGGGAATGGCTGCAATTATTCATAGGTTGCTCCTTACTGTTATTCTTAAGGGTTTTATTTACACAGGACCTACTCTACCAACTCTACTGCTGACTGTATAGCTGTAGGTAAGTTACCTAAGTGCTCCTGCCTCAGTTTCCTCATTTGAAGAATCAGGATATCATGCCACCCTGGTGGAGCTGTAATGGTCAGATGAGTTAATACATGTAAAGTTCCTAGTCCATGGCAGCACATATGTGCTTGGTGAGTGTTAGCTATCGTTGTCATCTGGTGTCTGCAACCTTTTGTTGTTGTTTGAGACAGGGTTTCTCTGTGTAGCTTTGGAGCCTGTCCTGGAACTCTCTCTGTAGACCCGCGTGTTTGGAGTAAAGGTGTGTGCTACCACCTGGCTGGTGCCTAAAGTTTTATGATGCCCTGACATTGCATCTTTTATCATCTCTTTTTCTAGCACACCAATCATGTGAAGTATGTAGTTCTATCATCTCCCTTCTGAGACAAGGAAAAAGGGAAGTGAAGTTGATAAAAATCTGGAATGATTTCAGGCCAGGGCAGGCCTCAAAGCCCACAGTCTCCCCGCTGTAGGGTGCTGTGTAGGACTGGAGGCAGTCTGTGTCTCCTCATCCTTTGTCAACCAGCCCTCACACCCCCACCTGTCCCTGCAGACACAACACAGGAGTAGTTGGAATAGGTCTGTGGGGATGATTAACACAAGCCTGGCCCAATCCAAGAACCTGGTGCAGTGCTCCTCTGCCCACCCAGCTACCACAGTCCCAACACTGCAGATGGCATTGCCACTGTCACCTTCTGGGAGGGTGAAGTGGTCTGGTCCATAGGAATAATTAGCACCAACATACTTCCCCCTCCCCCTCCCCAGGTTCCTACCCACTGCCACCTCCAGGGCAGGTCCCCAGATGTGTCACCCACCTGGAGTAATCTTGCATGTCTGGGTAGCTACGGAGAATTTCTTAGGTCCCCTCTTCCCCACAGTTGCTGTACATTCTCCAGTGGCCTAAAAGAAAAGAAAGAGGCTATTTACCCTAATTTATCTTTCTAATGGAGACATCTAGGTAGTACTGTTGTTAAATGTGACCTAAAGAAAAATTTTTTTAATGGAGTTTTTTTTTTTTAAAGATTCAATTGCTTTTATGTAAATGAGTGTTTTTTATATACATTCGTGTGTGTGTGTGTGTGTGTGTGTGTGTGTGTGTTTGCATGCATACAAGCATGCATCTGGTGGACATGGAGTCCAGATTCAGTGGAATTAGAGTTACAGATGGTTATATGTGGTGATATATTGTTTATGATTTAATAAAGCCACTGAAGATCAGAGAAGCAAAGCAGCCAAGTCACCAGAGAGCTCTTACCTCCTCTAGGGCTAGTGAGATCCTATCCTCAACGTGGCTGGAGACTAATTGCTCCAATCCGAGACTCTGCTCCAATCTGCACCTGTAGTGCTGGGATTAAAGGCCTGAGCTCTGTTTCTCTTTTAGACAAATTCACTCTCATGTAGCCCTGGGTGTCCTTGAACTCACAGAGATTCATCTGCCTCTGTCTCCTGAGTTCTGGGATTAAAAGTGTGTACCACCACTGCCAAGCTTCTATGGCTAACTAGTGTGGCTGGTTTTGGATTCTGATCTTCAGTGGCTTTATTAGATCATAAACAATATATCACCACAGTTATGGGCTCCATCTGGGTTCTAGGAACCCAATCCATGTCTTCTACAAGTGTGCTTAACCACTGAGCCATCTCTCTAGCCTTCTAAGATTTGAGACACAAGAATGAATATTTATGTGACCTAGTGATTGCTTCCATGGGTCACTGATCTTCACCGGTTGGGGAGAGGCAGAGTAAGGCTTCTCAACTTGAGCCTGGATGTAGAGTCCAGACAAGTTTTTCTGTCACCAAGACAGCCACTGCGCCTCAGGACCAACAGGCTAAGCTTCCTCCCTGATAACACTTTCAGTGCCAGTGGGTTCACACTCTTTACCCAAACTTCAGTTTCACCTCTTAAGAATACCCACCCTGCTTCTGTTCTGCTGCCTACTGTTCCTCAGTTTGCCTGCCTTGTAGAGATACAACACCTGTACTTAACAGGTTACTGTGAGGAGTAAATGCACTAACACAGAGAAAGCACCTAATGGAAAGCATACAGTTGGTGCTTACATGGTGGCTGTCCACTGTTAGGGGTGAACAATGGTTTTGGTCTTGTACTTCAGTCTTACTGTAACAAGCACCAGGAGCATTTGCATAAGGCTAGAGCTCACCCTGATGCCTCGAGTTAGCTCTGAAAGGCTGGCTGTGCAGGGCATAGCAACTGCCAGACAAACTCACTGAGGGGCAGAGCTAGCATGGCAATCTTGGTCTCTTGGAGTGCAGTGCTCTTTACCACTGTGGATGACCACAGTGTGTGAACAAGCACTCCGGAGGATGCTGGCATCTGATCTCAAAGGGGAATACAAGCCTGTGAGAAGAGAGGCTTGCTTCTCAGGCAAATAATTGCCTGCCATCCCCTCTCACTGGGCCTACATTCAGTGTTTCTTGAAGACATCTAAACTGTCAATAAGATCCTTTGTATGATTTATCTTGCTTCATCCTCCTGCTGCCAGTGAGATCAATGCTGTCTCATTTTAATAGGGTAAAGCACCTGCTGAGGGCGGCCAACGGCTCCGTGACACTTAGAGCAAAGTCAAGATTTGTACCTAGGCTCATTATAGTTGTCACTCCCATATTCCTCCTTCACCAGACCTTGAACTCAGCCCAAATGTCTATCTGTTGTCTCCCTGGTGTCTGACACATGAGTTTGGTGGGTTATTAGGAGCACCTTCTCATGAGCGGCCAACAAGCCTGGTTAATGATTAGCATATTCCAGATTTTTCAGTCTTCTCAAGAATTCAGAGACGTGGCTAAATTTTCTAGATAGTAGAAGGCTTATGTGTATCATTCATAAACAAGCTCAATAATATAAATCATCCCCCTGTAATTAAGAAAGTCTGTAGCTGATGAGTGGGTAAGGAAGTTGCTGTATGTACATAATGGAAAGAACTGTAAAAAATTAAAACTTGTCACTTGTAACATGGAAGGGACTGGAAATCAGCAGGTTAGGGAAAACATGTAGCTACAGGACATCAAAGGTCAACAAAGGGTGTTGTCACAGAAGGTAGGAGCAGTCACCAGTAACTGGAGGCTGGGGATAGGAGAAGTCTGGCAAGGATTACTGAGTGACAGTTCGATAAGAGTGAGTACAGATAAGAATTTCACATTGTTCATTGAAGAATGGCTGGAAGGATTTTGAATTTTATCACCATAAAGGGCTGATGATTGCCAGAGGAGACAGGGGGCCCAGCTTTAAACAAGTGCATGGGATCAAATGGTCAGGTGTACCCACTACGGGTATAAGTTTAATGTTTGATCTATGCGTTTAAATGTATAGAACCCCAAGGGTTACATGGAGAGGGCTGGGGGCTTTTGCATTGAGTACACTCACAGCTTCTTCAGCATCCTTGAAGCCGCAGTCCTGCCAGGTGAGGCCACTTTGGACAGAACAATTGCCCTCCTTGATTTGATACTTGAAGGAATAAAATGTCTCAGCGCCAACCTGAGGAAAGCAAGGGGACAGTGGAGTCATTCGGTGGACCCAGGAGCAAGTACAGGGACCTGACACATTACAAACAGCTGTCCTGACCGGACTCGAGTAGTGCTAGGTGTTTATTAAAAAGTAAGAGTTTACATTCACATAAATACTCCTTGGAAGAATGTTCATAATATACTTACATCCTTAACGATTCCAAAGAGGTACCCATAGTATTAGCCCTGCCCTCTTTTTGGTAAAACCTAGTTTACATGTACATGTATGGGTTTTCAAAATGTCAAGTCGAAGCTGGGCATAGTGCGAAGCCAGTAATCCCAGTACCACACCTGTGGGACTGAGAGGAGGACCTAGAGTTCAAGGCCAGCAGAGCTACATAATGATGCCCTGCCTCAAAAAACCCAACTCAGTGTTTGCCTGACATGTGCCTTGGCCTTGGATCCCTGGTTACGGGGAGGGGACACTGGCTACATGGACACTGTATAACAAACGCTCACGTACTCCATCCATTATCCAGTGGAGACACTAGTGGACTGAGGCTCCAGAGTGGCCGGAAGCAGAATGCACACCGTGCTGGAGTAAGAAACAGAAGGCTTCGTTTATCTTCGGGAAACAAACACATAAGTCTACGTCCACTAGGATTTTCTTTTTATATTCATTATTTTCTGCTGAAGTAACTTGATTTATCCAAAGAAAGAGTCTTTTAAAGTAAAATTTATTATTATTTATCTTTTTGAAAGCTTTAACGTTTTCAAAAAGCTTTTATGAGTATGAGTGTTTGCCTGAATGTATGTATATATGCTACATCTTTGCCTGATGCTTATTGTGGTCAAAAGAGCCACCAGATCCCCTGGGACTAGAGTTCTAGATGGTTGTGAGCTACCATGGGTGCTGGGAACTGAACCCAGATCCTCTGCAAGAGTACCCAGTGCCCTGAACCACTGAGCCATCTCTCCAGTCTCTAAACTTTATTTATTTAAAAATCTTTTTTGTTTCTTTGTTTGAGACAGGGTTTCCCTGTGTCCCTGGCTGTGCTGGAACTCACTCTGTAGACCAGACTGGCCTCAAACTCAGAGATCCACCTGCCTCTGCCTTCCAAGTGCTGGGATTAAAGGCATGTGCCACCATCACCCAGCTATGTTTTTTTTAAAGCTCTTAAAGATTTTGCCTTTCTTTGATGTGTGGATCCTGCCTGCACTTGTCTCCTACCTTAGTGCACTAACGTAGGCATGACAGCATAGTAAAAACTAGCCGAAATGGGCTGGGGATGGAGTTGGTAAAGCCCTTGCCTAGTGTGTTTGATTCTCTGGTACCAAATAAACCTGGCCTCGTGGCACATCCCTGTAATCATAGCACTAGGGAGATGGAGGCTGGAAGATGAAAAGTTTAAGTTTATCCTTATCAGCATAACAATTTTATGGTTAATCCAAGGCTACATGACTCCCTGCCTTAGCCTCCCTGCATCCCCCCAAAACTGAAGAAAACTATTAGAAACATTGCTATTAACCCGGAAGAATCAGCCACACATACTTGGTGGCATTCACTTGGTGCAAGGCAATAATGCCCAGTCTTCTCTTACTCCATTTACTCATCCCCATACAGAACTCTTACTTCAGGCTGGAGGTCACTGAGTTCACAGACCCAGTGCATTCTCCTGTTGCAAGTAGATTAAGTTGCTGGATTCCCTGCTGTGCCTTGTCGCCTTCCTGTCCTCCACCCCCATGCCAGAGAGCACAGAGTTTAAGTGATTTCACAGTTAAGCAGCCACTCACCATTTTAGTGCCCTCAGTCACTCGGTATAACATGAACTGGTTTCCACTTTGGTTCCTGGCATTATACTTCTTCAGAGCCACATCCACAGCCTGAAATACATCCTCATCATTGCAGTCAATTTCCTGGGAGGCTCCTTCCTGTGTTAAACCCGTTACCAGCCTGGAGCAGAGGAACAGGAGAGTAATTAGCTTCATGATTTAAGTTTCCCTCTCGAATGGCAGGGATGGTTTTGCCAAGAACTGGAAGTCAGCTTAGAAGGTGCTTTTAGCAGTTTGTCTGGTCTGTCCTGTCCTGTCTCTCCCTGCCTCACCACTGGAGGCCTATTTGGATTCCTGCTGTCACAAGCTGTTTGTCCTCTTCCCAAAGAGCAAATATGACTATGCACACTGCCCAAGCAGGTTTTAGGTTGGAACATTGTGACACCAGGTTGTTGACCTGCTTGTTTGCCCTTGGAAAGAACGTGGGAGTGCAGAGCCTGTTTCCAAAAGTTGCACAACTTTGTACAGTGAATTAGAGCAGAAACCAATAAAAGAGGAGCTAAAACCAACAAAAATTCCGTTACCCTCTTGTGACTTTACTGGACCAGTTACAAAGGTCTCTGCATGTGTGAACAATGAGGCCAATGTACAAACACCTCCCACACAGAATAGCTTGTGGGGATATTGATGTGTACAGGAGCAGGCTGCTGTCAGCTCTGGTGCATTCCTGAAAAGCTCAGGCACAGATGGACACTAGCACATCTGAGAACCAGCCTCTCTGCTCAACTTGATTAGCTCAAGCAAAAAAGGAAGGGAGGGGCCAGCAGGAGCCCCAGCAGGTAAAAGTGCTTGCCTCATGAGCCTCATGCTGACAACTGAAGTTTGATGCCTGGGAGTCAGACAAAACCTCTGGATGGTGGCACACATTTGTAAACCTGGCATTCCTACTGAGATCCAGGAAGTGGAGACATGAGAGGATGGGGAGCTCACAGGCCGGAAGCCTGGAGTATGAGAGCAGGAGAAACAAGGAGACCCGTCTCACTAAGGTGGATGATGAGGCACCCACTCCTGAGAGGTTCTGACCTCCGCATGTGGGCTGTGGCTTTGTGTGCAGCCTCATACATTCTCATCCTGTCTCCCATAAACACACACAGTAAGAATAATGAAGAAAGGAAGGACAGAGAGGGGAAGGAAGAAGAACAAGAGAAAGAAGAAATAAAAGAGACTCCCAAAGGTTGAGTTCTGTGTGGTTGATGGGACCCTCTCGTTTGCAATGGCGGCTGCCTGAGAGGCCCTGAGGTGGGGGCTGTCACCATGGGTTGAATGACGACTTTATAGGAGCTTGGCAGGAGCATGCTTGGTTAGAGATCCTATATGGATATCAATCTGGCTCTACTCCTGAACTTCTTTGTGCTGAGTCTGTATAGGCATTTGCATGTGGGCCAGTGTGTGTGTTTCATGCTTGGCTGAGGGCATGTGTCTGGGTGTGAATGAGTGTGGGTTTATGTCTGTCCATGTATGTGTGTGTGAGAGTCAGTCATAACCTTCCCATCTCAGTTTCTTCACCCCAAGAATGTGGAAATCATATATCTTTTTGTTTGTTTGTTTTTGAGACAGGGTTTCTCTGTGTAGCCTTGGCTGTTCTGGAACTTGTTCTGTAGACCAGGCTAGCCTTAAACTCACAGAGATCCCCCTGCCTCTGCTGGGCTTAAAGGTGCTTGCCACCACCTCCTGGCTGGAAATCATCATATCTTAGTGGGGTTGTTTCGTTTTGTTTTTCCCCACTGGAAATCCTTTAATTTAAGCAAGTTTTGAAAATGAAGACAGAAACATTTACGCCTTCATGTGAATTAAGCAGCCCAGCACCACAGGTCAGAGAAACAAAGAAAAGAGAAGGTGGGAATGGAAGGGAAGCTAAGGCAGAGAACGCAAGCCTTTGATTTTAGTTTCCCGAAGGTGAGCATGGAAGCAAAAAGTTTCTACAGTTAGATTGCGGATTTCAATTTTTGTAAAAGTCAGAATGAGATGTTCTGCACAGAACAAAAGATATGCCTAAGTGACATACAAGGCCACCAAAAGTCATGAATATTATATTAATAGCAAAAAGAGAAGCTTGTTATGTAGCAGGCTGAGTAAAGGGTCCAATGTGGTATCCTAATAAGCTCAAGATTGTAAACTATCCCACAAAAGTGGCAATGATGGACAGATTGGGTGTGTGCTCCTGGTTGGTACGGTATCTTTCTAATATGGGCAAATGAATACAGACTTTTGTTAAAGGTTGCACAAAACCATTTTTTGCACTTCCAAAAAAGCACAAGAGTGAAAACAAGAGCTGGCACACATGCACACCCATTCATGTCTTCAGCAAAGAGGGCTGGCCCAAGACTGCAGACCTGGGGAAGAACACTTCCTCAACAGCGGCTGGTAAGTGCTGGAGTCACACAAGTCACAATGGAAGGGCCCAATGTCACCCAGGTAAGAAGCCCTTGTTACAGTGGATCAGCAGGGTAGAGGCTATCAAGTCTAAGCAGTCATTCAAATCTTCTGGAGCCCACCTACTTGTGTCTGAATTATGTGACTTGTCTTCCACCCCATGGCCAAAAACTTCTGGCTTATAAAATTCAAAAGGAAATCACGGAATAGTCAGAATAAGGGAGGTCCTATTAAATAAGAGCAGCATCCAAAGCTGTAGTTATGAAGAAGCAAGGAAAGCCTGAGCATTAAAGCTGTAACACTTGCTTGCTATTTGTTGGAGCTAGCCATACACCAGCTATGTAACATGTACAATTACTGTTACATTAATTATTTATATTGCTATTACACAACCCCTGTGTCAGTGTCTGGTAAAACTAGCCAAAACCTCCATATGTGTAGGTTCCCCCTACAACAGTAGCACACACTACCAAGTCAATTGTGATAAAAAAATTTTTTTTTCTTTGTATTTCTAACAAGTCTGGATAATACACTACTTACCTTCCAGTCGTATTGGAGGCAATGCTCCTTTAACTAAATTCTACTTTGTGTAACTTAGTATTTCCTAAAGAATGTTTGTTAGTGAATCTTTTATAGCATCAATGTTACTACTTCAAGTTTCTCCTACATCAAAATGATCCACATAACGAACAAATGCTATCAAGCAATATCCATGTTACATCCAACATTTATGGTTGATACTCATTTTATAAAGCCTTTTCCAACCTATTGCTGTTTTCATCAAATGATTATCATAACACACACACACACTTGTATAAGGGGCATGGAAGAGTACACAACTTAAGATTAGAGTTATGTATTAGTTTAGGCTGAAAATCTGACTACATGGGAAACCCAAGGCAAGTAAGGTTGGTTGTTGCATTGTTCTCAAGGAGGCGGGTCAAACAAGCATGTTGAGTACACAGTAGGACCGCAGTGACTTCAAGGTGTATTAACTCTGCCTGTGAGGCCCAGCAAACATTCCAGGCTCTTAGAATATAAGCGATGTTTTCATAGTATCTCTTCACCATAGGTAAGTTTCCAGGCTGAGTGAAAGGAGGAAGAGGGAGAAATAGAGAATCTGGAAGACGGGAGGGTTGGGAAGTGAGTAACGTACTATCGTGAAGGACTTGGATCACTGTGAAGGCTTCCAGTGAAGATCCACAACCACAACAGCCAGTGGCCAAAGAATGAGGCTTTGGAGGAGGCTGACTAGAGCTCTAACCTGAGTTCTACAGGTTACAAACAGTGGTGGTTTGAAAGAAAATGGCCCGCATAGGCCCACAGGGAGTGGTACTATTAGGAGGAGTGGCCTTGTTGGAGCAGGTGCCACTTTGTTGAATGTAAAGACAGTCCTTACAGGGCTGATGCTTTTGTTTGTTTCTTGTTTTGTTTTGCTTGAGACAAGTTCTTCTTATCATATAGCTCTGGTTGTCCTGGAACTCACTATGGCTGGTTTCGAACCAGCAGGGATCCTCTTGTCCTTGCCTCCTGAGTTCTGGGTCTTAGAGGTGTGTGCCACCATGCATGGCTTGTTTCCTGCCTTTAATGCTATTGTTTATCTGTAGCAACTGCAATAGGATATCTATTAAAATGAATCAGGGATTTTTATAATTATGCTTTTCAAGATGTATTTTCATAAACTCAAGAAATATTTGTCAAAGTGCCTTATAAATTAGAAAATGAGTTGGGCAGTGGTGGCACACACCTTTTATCCCAGCACTTGGGAGGGAGATGAAGGTGGAGCTCTGTGAATTTGAGGCCAGAGTGAGCTACAGAGCGAGTTCTAGGATAGCCAGGGCTACAAAGGGAAACCCTGTCTCAAAAGACAAACAAGAGAACAAACAAACAAATAACAACAAAATAAGTAACAAAACAAATCTGTGGGAAAACAATATTTTGGGTTATTAATCTGAGTTTATTTGTTCTCGGCTACCTGATAGCCCCCTGTTTTCAACCCTGCACTCAGGCAGCTGACTCCTGGTTCATGCTTCTGTAAAAGAATGTGGTTCCCTAAGGCAACATTTAGCTGGCCACTATGGAATGGTCACACTGGTTATTTCTGGTTAACAAATATTCTAAATGGTTGACCTGTGCCATGTCAGTTATTCAGTATTTAAATACTAATGACCATGGGGCTGGGAGGCAGAGAAAAGCTGAAGTTGATTAACCTGGTTCCAGGTGTGTGAGTTCAGATTTAGAAAGGAGGAAGAGTATTAAAATGGAAGAAAATGAATTGTTTAACACCAAAAATAAATAAGGCAAACTCACCTGATACTAGAGAGAAGCTATCTTGTGGAAAAGAGATGGGAAGGATAATGGGAGTAGGACCTAGGGTTCCTGAGATGCAGAGCTCTGCCCCCCCTTCTAGAAACACAGTTTGGGTAAGATCCCTGGAGGGAACAGCCATGTGGTACATCTTGGCATAACCATATGGTACAACTTGGCACAGCCATGTGGTACATCTAGGCACTCCTGTCCCTTGGTGATCTTCTAGGGACTCCTTTATCTTTAGTCAGATATAAAAGTGGCATTTAAACTAGCCTCAAAAAGAGACGTGCACACACCAATGGTCCTCTGGTACAAATCTGCATGGGGAGTGGCAGGCTGTAGGGACTCCAGTTTCCCCTTAGCCCAGGAGAGTGCCTATGTGAAATACGAATTGGTTGGAACATGAACAATATTTCTTGAACATCTGAATTTATGCTCATGATTATGCTAAAATTGTCTTTGCAACTTACCGACGATTTTATTAAGAACTTTGTGATGGAATTTAAACTGGCAATCATTAAGGAGACGATGTGAGTCACTTTTTAAAAAGTAATATATGTTTTCTTGGTATGTCCATGGTGGTGATTTGATTGAGGACATCCCCACGTGCTCAGATATTTGAACATTGGGTCCCCAGTTTGGGATGATTTCTGGGGATGTTTAA